GTCGGTGAAGTTGCTTATCGTTTGGCATTGCCACCAGACCTGGATAGGGTTCATGACGTTTTCCATGTATCCATGTTAAGGAAGTATGAGGCGTATGCATCGCATATTTTACGGTGGACAGATGTTGTTGTTGATAAGGACGTGACCTACGAGGAGGGTCCGGTACAGATTCTTGATTCACGGGAGCAGGTTTTGCGGACCAAGACTATTCCAATAGTTAAGGTCTTGTGGAGACATCACGGCTTTGAGGAGGCTACCTGGGAGCTCAAACAGGAGGTTCGCTCTCGGTATCCCCATTTGTTCTCTCTTTCAGGTACGACTCGATTTCGGGGACGAAATCCTTTTAAGGAGGGTAGGTTGTAATGACCCGATCTTTTTCCTCCTTTTCCATTTTCGGTGATTTTCTTTTTTCGTCTTTTTCCTATATTCTCTTTTCTTTTTTTCGTCTTTTAGTCGTTTTTGATTTTTCCTTGCATAACCTCACTTGTTGTGCTCGGATTTGATTCCGAGTTTGCATGCATTCATGATATTTGATTTCCATGACATTAGTATTTTTACTTTTCTTGAAAAGCATGCTAGATTAGTACTTTTCTTGTAAAGGGCATGAATGCATACTTTAGTGTAATTATTTATAACTTTTGTGGTTTTAGTGTAATTATGTAAAATAATTATTTTTCGTTTTGGGGACTTTTTTGTAATTTATTTTGGAAGATATTTTGAAAAACGACCATTTTGTAATTTTTGGAAATTGTGACAAGTGTCACACTCTCATGATGCCATTTGTTGGCATTTAGGTAAAGAGACTTGGCACCATGTCTTCTTGACATTTGGTGGGTGGAGATTCATCCATGTGTTGGCCTTAGATTGGTGCACATGTAACTATTGATTGTTGACAAGTGTGGGTCTAGGATTAAGTCTTGGAAGGGGCATTGGATTGGTGACAAGTGTAGGATCACCATTTAGTCTTGCATTATGTGTGCGAGAGAGGTAGTGCAAGAGCACATAGTGAGTGGAGGATTTCTAGCCCTTCCACTCACCATTTTTACACTTTACCTTTTTAATTTCATTGTCTCTCATGAACCCTAGCCAATCCACCATTGAAGGAAAGCTTAGTTCATAGCTTATCCCTTCAATTTGGCTCACTTCCATTCATCTTAGAGTGAAAACCTTCGGAGAGAAAAGATTCTTCTCACTATCCTCTTTAATAGCCCTAAACTTGCTTTCCATTTTGTGCTTGGGTGCTTGGATTATAGAGATTCAATTCTCTATTGGGGTAGGGGTGGTAGTATGTTTATATTCTAAGTGTTTTACAGTCCTTGTTGTTTACTATATATTGTGCACATGCTTTTGATATGATAGTATTGCATATTATAGCAAACCCTCACTCCTTGACTTAGGGTTTATTGATTTAAGCATGTATAATATGTATAAACAATGTGTAGAAGGATTATATAATTTAGTAGCATGTTAAATTCTAGAAATTTCACATGTGTTAGTGATGTGGGACATTTGTAGAATTATTGATGTTATATGCAATCTCTATTGATATGAATTGCTATATTTGTTGTTATAATAATTCTATGCCCTTGTGAATTACTAATTGTAATTATTTAGGAGCTTATTGCTATGATGTTGATAATTAATATACAGAGCTTGTTATTGAGGCATGACTTGAATTGATAAATTTGTGATATTGTATTGTGCCTAATATCATGATGTGAATTTGTCATTTGGCATGCCATTCTAGATTTGGAACCCTAAGACATGGTTTGTATGGTTTCAAAATACTTGTGCATGGAAGGTGGTTTGTATGCCTTATTATATATATATAAGTTTTGAACTTGATATATATTTTGGAATCTCTTGGGACATTGTTACATGTGACATGGCTAAAGTTTGGCTTTAGTGCGGGAGGTATGAGTTCTCCCCAATAGAGGTAGTGCACACTAGGGTGGTCTTCCCAGTGGGTTAATGCCCGGAATAACCGTATTGATCTTGGTTAAGTCCGAGACGTGATGTCCAAGTCTTCCATTACTTGTTTTCGCATTAAATTTGAAGTTGACAACCAATGCTTAATTGTGGCTTGAAATTCTTGTTATCGGCGAATTAATGTTGTTAAGTACATTGATATTGATTTGTATTGCTAAAGAATCTTTCAAGTTAGCTTAAGATGATCCTTTAGCACACCTTGAACATAGACGTTAAGTGGAATGCTCCCTTGTACTCGTTTATATTGATATTGCAATGATATTGAAACTTTAGGGTATACGCATATGTTTCTCCTACGAGTAACTTGATTACTCACCCTAGTGGTTTGGGTTATTTTTTAGGTAAAGAGACTATGTTCATGGATGCTTATCATCCTTAGAAGCTTTTGAGCTATTTGAAGCATTTTTGTATATTAACATGCAAGTGTTTAGCATGGCTTGACTTTTGATATCATATTTTGAATGCAATGGGTGTATGGTACTTTTGGAGCCACAGTAGCTTTCTTGATATGTAATAACACTCAAATATTTGCTTTTGACATTTTAAGTATGTATGTAAAGAGGCCAAGGGCCAAGCATGCCAACTTTTGTACTTAGACACCTTTGGTAACAAAGTTTTGCTTTAAATACCTCTTAATTAAATTTTAAGGTTTGACATGTGAAAATCTTATAAATGTTGTGTATGAGGACATGGGCCATTAATTTGCATTCAAGGATCCATATCAAGGATGTTAGTATGTTCACATTTTCAAAACTTCATGAAAAATCAGTTTTATACATGCATTATGAACCAATTCATGAAGGGATTCAAAGTTGTGTTTAGACCGTAGCACCTTAGGCTCATAATAGGTTCAGCAGCAGGTTTTCGAGGTGTTTTGGTCGACCAAAACTCCATTTCGGTCGACCGACGGTTAATGGTTTTGTGTTTGTACTGTGATCTCACATTCTAATAGCCAAAAACACTATTCAAGGGTAATTTCAGTCGACCGAACCTTTATTTCGGTCTACCGAAGCAATTGGAACCTCTTCTTCATGATTTCAGGTCTCAGCATCTCCATTTCAGTCATCCAAAACTTCATTTCGGTCGACCGAAATAGCTAGAACCTGAGCCTAGCTTCTGTTGAGTTTCAGCATTGATCATCCGACTTCAACGGGTCATAACTTCTTCGGTCCTAATCCAAATGGGGTCATTCTTGAGCCTAAACTCAAGGATTTTGAGTTAGATTTCCAATGGTACCAATCCCATTCTCAAATTACAAGCACACTAGGAGTTATGTATGTTTTAGTGAAGTAGTGTTAGTTTTCACTTCAGCCGGGACGGGGCATTTCATGGGATTCTTAGCCAATGTTCATAGAACCTCTTGGAATGTTTCAAAATGATTAGATTAGGTTGGATTAACCTTTTTTGACTTGTTTAGAGTCAAGTTTCTCCTTTTAATAGTGAATTAACCTTTTTGCCCCTTGGATAGCAAATTTTGTCCTTTTTGAGCTTTGTTTCCGTTTTTGTCCTCTTTAAGTTCCATGACCTCATGGAGGGTCACATTTGTGTCTTAGGAGTGACTCCTATCTCTAGAGACCTTGGTTTACCTTTAGCTTCTGCAATTCGGATTCGTTATCGGATCACTTTCGGTTCATCACTGACGTACCGGGTTGAAAAACTTGGGCTGTCACAAAGAAGCTAGAAACTTACAATCAGATGTACGCCCAACAAAGGAAGGCCTACTTAATACAAAGGCTAAATGGACGGCCCAATCTTAATAAGGCCCAAATTCTATAATGTCCGCACTAATGTTAAAATGCACGATCTGTAGGCATAATTACCCACGTTTGGAATTAAAAGCCAATAAATGGCTCCATGTAAATTCCTAAGTAAAAACTTATAAATAGAGCTTGAACAAAGGTGAAGACATCGAATTCCCAATATTGCTACTTTCTCAAAGATTTGTTAGTTCCCTTCTTGATTTTTTCTGTGTCCTCTCCATAATTAATCTCTTTAGGTGTTCGGGTGTAAGAAACTGCACCTACACTTTGGCGTCATCTGTAGGAAGCTCGATACAAAAAGTTCGTTCTCTATTCCTTGTGTACAACATCACTTCGGTATGGCAACAAAGCCAGACACTGTTCAACCGCAGCAACAGGAGACCATGCATAAGATACACAAAGAAATGCAAGTGCAACTTGACGTCCTGCGATAAGCAAATGAAGCCAGCGCTGGGCAAATCAATATGCTAAGGCAGGCTCAGGAAGCCAGTGTGGCACAAATCAGCACTCTGTGCAGGGAAAACGAAAGACTTCGAGGCAATGCTCGACGGAATGAATAGCCGATCGACCCTCGACCCGAACGTCAGAACGAGGATCCCCTATGGAGCCGGGTAATGATAATCCACCTCACCAACAGAGGGCTCCACGCTAACAGCTCAATGGAACATTGGAAGACATCAACGATGCTGCAAGTCAATCCAGCACCTTAGGGAACTCCAATGTTGGGGGACCTTGAGTCACCAAAGCCCATCCATCAAATAACGCGGATTCAGGTAGAAAAGAAGTGTGGACCCCAGCAGCTGATCAGCCGTCTTCAGGGAATGACTTTATCACCAGGCTCCAGAAAGAAATGGATGAACGAATCAAAGGACTGAAGGCCCAAATACCCAATGACATGGTGAGAGAATTCACAGCATCAATAGTGAAAACCCCTTTCATAAATGAGGTAGAACGGGTCGCAAGACCTAAGACATTCACAATGCTAAAGTTCATCAAATTCAATGGGACTGGAGATCCCCTCCAGCACCTCAACCACTATACTCAGGAAATAACTGTAGAGGCTCATAGTGATCTATTCATGTGCAAAATATTTCTGGCCAGCCTGACGAGGGTGGCCCTAGAGTGGTTCAAGAATCGCCCGTGCAAGTCAATCCCAAACTTCGAGTCACTACACATTGCGTTCTTGGCCCAGTATTATGGAAATAAGAAACAGAAAAAAAAACCATTGCCAGTCTCTTTACGATTCGACAGATGAAGGGAGAAGGCCTGCAGACCTTCCTCACTCGATTCAATATGGAGTCTTCGGGCATACCAGATTGCAATCAAGACACAGCCATAGAAGCATTCAAGATAGGCATGGTGCAAGGCTCACGTTTCCATTATTTTCTAGAAAAAAAGACCCCAACTAACATGTCGAAGCTGAATTCACGGGCACAAAACTACATCAGACTAGAAGAAAATGAAGTAACTAGACAACAGAGAGCAACACTAGTCACAGTAGAGAATTGGCAGAAGGAGCGATCGAGCACCCCGAGGGCCCATCAGGAACCCCCGGCCATTGAGGGACGAGCCCCTGAAAAGAAATCTCGAACGGCCAAAAGAGTCACACCGCTTAAAGTAACACTGGCCAGACTGTACCAAGAGACCAAGGCAAGAAACATCTTCCAGATCCCACCACCAATCAGACAACCAATAGAGCAAAGAGACCAGAGTAAACACTGTGCATTCCACAGTAATTTTGGTCACTTGACTAATGATTGTAGGAGCTTAAGAAGACAAGTGGAAGCGTTAATAGCCAAGGGCGAGTTAACTGATTACCTGATTACCCCGGGACAACAAAGGCAGCAGGATCAGGCCCGGGCAATTCCAAAAGCCGTGGGAGAGAGCCATCTTGTCCAAGTAATCAACACAATTCATGGCCGTCCGAAAGAGGACAAACAATCAGGAAATTCCTATAGGATCCAGCTTAAACAAGCGCATAAGCTGCGGAGGATTGGGGAAATCAATACCGTTGACTGCAAACCTAATCCAGCACAAGTTTCTTTTCATATATAGGAGATCTCAGAAGGGTGCAACACCTGCATGAAGACCCATTAGTAGTTAGTTTACTAGTGGCTAATTGTCTGGTCAGACGAGTACTGATTGACCCTGGCAGTAGTGCCAATATCATGACAAAGTGGACGTTCGATCAGTTAAAATTGGCCGCAGACCAGATTCGTCCCACTAGAAGCCCTTTGGTAGGATTTGATGGAAGAAGAGTGGAGCTCACAGGTGTGATCACACTATCAGTCACTGCTGCTAAAAGATCTCTGAAAGAGCACTTCGTGATTGTGGATATTCACCCTACCTACAATTTGCTAATGGGTCGGGGATGGATCCACCACATGGAAGGAGTCCCATCAACCCTGCACCAAGTCATGAGATGCATAAGTCCAAATGGTCAAGAGGTCATCGATATCTGGGGGGACCAGGTAATAGCAAAGGAGTGCTACCACACGACGGTTTATCCTTCTGATAAGGATAAGAAATCATTGAAATAGTAATTACTAAGCTCTTCCCTTCCAAAAGAAACGGAGGAACCGGAAGAAGAGCATCTTACCATAAAACCCCTAGAAGCTATGCAGATAGTCGCAGGGGACGAGTGCAAGCTAACCTACATAGGGACTCTCTAGTCAGTTCAGGTAAAGGAGGAGCTGGTAGAAATCTTAAGGAAGAATGTCGACATATTTGCTTGAAACCACTGGGACATGCCGGGAATTAACCCACGGACGGCCTGTCACAGCCTGAACGTGGACCCTAGGCACCATCCAGTGAAACAAAAGCATAGAAGGTTTGCCCCCAAAAGAAATAAAATCATTTCTGAAGAAGTCAATCGACTTTTAGAAGCAGGGTTCGTCAGAGAAGTCCAGTATCCTCAATGGTTGTCAAATATGGTGGTTGTCTAGAAAAAGAAGGGCAAATGGCGAGTATACATTGACTTCACCAACCTGAACAAAGTGTACCTAAAAGATAGCTTCCCACTCCCCAAGATCGATCAGATGGTAGACGCTACGACCGGATATGAAAAACTGAGTTTCCTTGATGCTTACTCGGGCTACAACCAGATCCTGATGAACCATTCGGACGAAGAGAAGACTTCTTTCATCACCAAACGTGGGACCTATTGCTACAAGGTAATGCCCTTCGGGTTAAAAAATGCAGGAGTAACTTATCAGAGGCTGATTAACAAAATGTTCGAAGAGCAGATCGGTCAAACGGTTGAAGCTTACATAAACGATGTGGTTGTGAAAAGCAAAGATAAGAAAGATGATCGGCGACACCTGCAGGATGTGTTTGATACTCTCAGGAAACATAGAATGATTTAAACCTAGCAAAGTGTTTGTTCGGAGTATCGTCGGGTTAGTTCCTCGGTCACCTGGTGAGCCAAAGGGGAATAGAGGCAAGTCCCACTCAGTTGAGAAAATTACTACAAAGTCAAGAGCCCCGAACCGTGAGGGAAGTCCAAATCCTCATTGGGAGAGTAACGGCTCTTAGCCGCTTTATATCCAGACTATCAGACAAATGCAAACCATCCTTCAACACAATCAAAGCTAGAAAAGGAGATATCTGGGGAGTAGAGCAGAGAGAAGCTCTTATGAAACTCAAGGAATACATGAAAGTCCCCAAATTCTATCTGCTCCAGAACCCGAAGAGCCATTGTACCTCTACCTAGCAGTATCTCAGTCAGCAACCAGCTCGGCCCTAGTAAGAGAAGTGGGAAAAAAGCAACACCCGATCTTTTACTCCAGCAAGGCCATGATCGAAGCAGAAAGCTGATACTCAATGACAGAAAAAATCATCCTTGCTCTAGTTCAGGCCAAAAGGAAACTTCGACACTATTTCGAGGCTCATCGGATAGTAGGTCCCACGATACACCCTATCAAAGCAATTCTCAATAAATCGGATATCTCAGGTTCGATCACCAAGTGGGAAATTGAATTAAGCTCCTTTGACATTCGGTACGAGTCGCGCACCGCAAAAAAAGGGCAAGCGGTTGTAGATTTCCTCTTGGACGTTGACCCAGGAGAAGAACAGCAAACCACGGAAGTTCCTTGCTGGGAGTTATACGTCGATGGTTCCTCGAGCCAAAATGGAGCCGAAGCAGGACTAGAGATAAGAACCCCTGAGGGGACTAGAATCCAACAATCAGTCGGATTAGAGTTCCCAGTCACAAATAATGAAGCGGAGTATGAGGCGCTATTGGCAGGGCTCAGATTGGCCAAGGAACTCCAAGTAAAGCACCTCAAAGCCTATAGTGATTCAAAACTTATCACAAGGCAGGTGATGGGAGAATACACCACTAGAGAGGGCAGAATGAATGCATACTGAGAAGAAGATAAAAAATTGACAATGTACTTTGATATAATCAAATTTCAGCAGATCCTTAAGGAAGAAAATCCGATAGTTGATCACTTGGCGAATGCAGCATCCATAGCGGATGAATCACTTACCAGGGTCGTCCCCATTAATGTCCTAGATACGCTAAGCATCACAAGGGGAATGCAGGTACTGGTCATCCCATGGGAACCAAGTTGGATAGATCCAATATTGGCTTACCTTGAGAGAGGAAAACTCCCCAATTCTAATGAAGCGGCCCGACAGCTAAGGATGAAAACTGCCAAATATTCAGTGGTAGGAGGACAACTTTTTAGGCGATCGCATTCTAGGCCCTACCTCAAGTGTTTGACCCCTATGAAGTCCTAAGAAGTTTTAAAACAGATACTTGAAGGGGAATGCGGGAATCATTCTGGGGGCAGGTCATTGGCTCATAAAGCTCTCACTCAAGGTTATTTCTAGCCCTATATGGCAAGGGAAACGGAAGAATACTCCCGCAAATGGGACAAATGTTAAAGGTATTCCCCCCCTCGTCCATCTACCCCCAGAAGAAATACACACCATGAGCAACCTATGGCCGTTCGCATAATGGGGAATGGAGGTGGTAGGACCCCTACCAATGGTGGTATCGCAAAAAAGGTACGCCCTGTTAGCCACTGATTATTTCACTAAATGGGTAGAGGCATATGCAAGTGTGACTAATGTCCAAGTGGAAAAATTCGTTTGGAACAATCTGATATGCAGATTCGGAATCCTAAAGTCCATCATCATGGATAACGGGCCAAATCTAGATAATTAAACACTTAATGTTTATTCGACAAATACGGTATCAACTAGAAAGTATTAGCTGCATACCACCCCTAAGGCAATGGGCAAGCGGAGATAACCAATAAAATAATCTTTGCCTGTATCAAAAAGAAGCTTGAAGATAAAAAAGGGAAGTGGTTAGAAGAATTTCCAAATGTCCTATGGACATATAGAACCACCCCGAGATGTCCCACCAACAAAACTCCTTTCTCTGTAGCTTACGGCACCGAGGCCGTAATCCTCACCGAAGTGGTAACACCCACCATCCAAAGCTTAGCTTAGAACTAAGAGTCAAATAATCAGCTTCTGGAACATAGTCTGGATCTATTGGAAGAAAAAAGAGAAGCTACAGCCATCCAGCTAGCAGCTTACCAACAAAAGATAGCAAATAGTTATAACAAAAGAGTCAGAAGGAGAAGCTTCAATCCAGGAGATCTGGTACTCCTAAAATCAGAAAAGTATGTCAGCAAATTGGAACCTAACTGGGAAGGGCCATACCGAATATCAGATGTGATTAGAAAAGGAGCTTACAGACTTTGACACCTGGATGGCACCGAAATGACCAAGCCAAGGAATGCAATGAACTAGAAAAGGTACTTTTAATAAAGTAAATCGTACAGTGTTTTCCAGTACTCTACCTTTTGAATGAATAAAACTACTGACAACCTTTTTCGAATGTCCCACATCGAATAAAAACAAAACTTCTGACTATTATTTAAAGTGGAATAACACGAGATCTAAACAGTGGAGTGGACCCTTGATGGTAGGCAACCCATAATGGGACCTACTATCAGGGGTCTCCACTTCACACTTTTTATCTTACCATAGATAAGGTCTCATCACCTATAAGAAATGATGTCCCACATCGTTCAAAAAGTGGAATCTAACCCTTTTTTTATAAGGATCCATACTTACCTCCTATCAGTGTGTGGGACCCATTGACAATGGGACCCCACTTACAACACTAAAGTGCCCCATTGTCAGAGGTCTCCATACACTCCCCACAAATTTTCAAATGAAAAGATATTTTCCCCTTTATTAGAAAGTACGGTCCCATATCGATAAAAAGGAAAAGAATCCCTTATTATTATAACATGACTAGCTGGGTATATAATCAGCGGGTGAGGGCCCTAAATTATGAGGCCCGTGGATAATCACAGCTTATTATTAGAAGGGGTCCATAATTTAGAGCTTTCCCCTCTTTCTTTTGGGATAGGTCCCTTCTTTTCAAATCCCTATCTCACTTTAAGTAGAAAATGGGTTTTCTATAAAACAGAATCGTTTAATTCTAAACGTTAGCAAGGGAACGCCCATACAAAGAAGGTCCGACACCCGTTTTGACCAAAAAAGGCCCAATAAAAAGGGGTCAACTAGTGACGAAACGCTCAAAATAGACCTGCAAATAGGCAAAGGCCCTAAGAGTCTAACGCCCGAACGGGCTTGACCGGAACTGCTCAAGTCCAAAAAGCCGAATGCCCCCAAGAGCCGATCGCAAAATAGGCGAAGGCCCCAAGAGCCTAAGGCCTAAACGGGCTTGACTGGAACTGCTCAAGTCCAAAAAAGTAGAACGACTCCAAGAGCCAATTGCAAAATAAGCGAAGGCCCCAAGAGCTTAACGCCCGAATGGGCTTGACCAAATAAACTACTCAAGTCTAAAAAAGTCGAATGGCCCTAAGAGCCGATCGCAAAATAGGCGAAGGCCCCAAGAGCCTAACGCCTAAATAGGTTTAACCAGATAAACTGCTCAAGTCCAAAAAAGCCGAATGGCCCCAAGAGCCAATCGTAAAATAGGCGAAGGCCCCAAGAGCCTAATGCTCGGATGGGCTTGACCAGATAAACTGCTCAAGTCCAAAAAAGCCGAACGGCCCCGAGAG